CGAGTAGCAAAATCCAAAACGCTTTTCAAAACAAACGGATATGCAATGCTTATTTCCAAGTTAGGCAATCTAGTCTATACTTGTTTGCTGCGCGCATAACATAGTAAACCTAGGCTAAGTATGGTAATAAAGTATCACATAACGTTTTCAAAAACGGATATCACGGTTAGTAGAGGCCGGTCTTTGGACCGGGCGACAAAGGGGTGCTCATAGCTGACCTTCCCCGATCGTACCCAAGCTCCCGAGCGGAGACAACTCCGGTGATGACGGACACGTGGCCTTCGGCACCGAGTCAGGGTTTTCCTAAATTCTCCCATAAAAAAATATTAGGTGGCGACTCGTATCTGGCAAAGCAGTCCAGTTTTGGCACTACTTTTTCAAAAATCTGTTTCTCAAAACGATTTGCCAGATTTGGACTCTTTGGTTCAGAATTAAGAACCGTGACACAAATTGAGTCCGAACTGTATAGCGAGGCCCCCACGGGCGCTGTTACATGCGCCGACTTAGTTAACCGGTCTACAACCACCCAAATGGCATCACTACACCGCTGAGTCCGTGAAGACCTACAACGAGTCCATACTGACATGCTCCCACTTCCACTCGGCAATAGGCAAGGGTTGCAACAAACCCGCTGGCTCTGCATGCTCGGCTTACTTGCTGGCATAAGGCACTTCGATACGAAAACAGCCACATCTCTCTTTATACCCCGCCACCAAAACTGGCAACCCAAATCCCGTACATCTTAGTGCCTCCCGGGTAAACGCAAGGCGCAAATGATGGAACTCTCGGAGTACTTCCTCTCGCAAGACTCCGGCACAAGACAAACGGTCTTGGTATCTCACACTCAGTCGGGATATACACCGTCAAACCTTCTCAACTTCCCACTACTGGAGATCTTCTCTCGGAGGGACTCTACCTCAAGGTCACCTCTCTGTGCTCTCTAACATCAGGTCACAAGTGTAGGCTGCGCAACAACAGAAGACAAGGCCACAGCCTCAACATGATCGCCAGAAGCAAATCAAACTCGCCAAGTGCACCGAACTCTCCCATTCCCGGATGGCTATACAAGCGTGCATCACTAATAGGGTTTCCTACTAAGGGCATCGGCCACAACATGTCCTTTCCCGGGTGATAGTGCACACAAAATCATAGTCCTCATGAACTCCCATCCCCCTCCTCTGCCTCAAATTCAAGTCTCCTCTGTGTAAACAGATACTTCAAACTCTTGTGGTCGAGAACACCTCGAACTCTCTCACCCTTAAAGGTAGTGCCTCAACAATCTTCAAGGCGAAGATCACTGCTGCTAACTCTTACGTGTGTAGGGTAATTCTTCTTGTGTATTTTCAACTGACGTGAGCCATAAGCTACCACTATCCCCTCTTGCATCAACACACAACCCAAACCCTCTCGTGAGGCATCACAATAAACTGCATAACCCAACCCTCTCTCCGGAATAATCAAAACCGGGAGCGGATGGTCAATCTAACCTTCAACTCCTGGAACGACTTTTCGCAAGTCTCACTCCACACAAACTTGACCCCTTTTCCGTTCAATCTAGTCAACAGCGAAGCTAGTCTGGAGAATCTTTTCACAACACTTACGGTAATACCCAGCTAATCCCAGAAAACTTGCGGGTCTAACACACACTCTTAGGCTGTGCCCAATCTTGCACTGCCTCTACTTAGATGTAATCAACAAACACCCCTTCCTCGGACACCACATGACCTAAGAATTGACCTCTCCTAGCCAGAACTCACACTTCCCAACTGTGGCATACGGCCTATGGGCTCTAAGCAATTCAAGCACCACTCTCAAGTGTTTCTCGTGCTCATCCTCAGAAGGCGAATAGTAAGAATGTGTCCACGAAAACGACCACAAATCGATCTAAGAATTCCGGAAGATTCGGTTCATAAGTCCATAAAGACCTGTCGATGCATTGGTAAGCCCGAATGGCATCACCAGAAACTCATAATGGCATGCGTCACGGCAATGCCGTCTTAGACCTCGTCTTAACCTCCCCTCCCTTTTCCCCTGGTTCCGACCCTCACTGGTGTAACCCGATCTCAAGTCTATTTTAGAGAAAACACGGGAACCCTTCAACTAGTCGAAACAATCTCTATACGGGGCATAGGTATTTATTCTTACCGTGCCCGATTCAACTGTTCGGGTAAGTCGATACACAATCTCAAGGCACCTACTTTCTTTTCAAAAAGAGGGTCCGGTGCTCCCACGGCAACACATAGGGGGACAAAACCCTTATTAAGCAATTCCTGGAAAGCTGATCTTCACTCACTCAACCGGCTGGCGCAAAACGATAAGGTTGCCATAGAAAATCGGCGTCCGTGCCGGGCATAGATCAATTAGAGAACTCTATTCTCTCGTGGAGTGGCAACTAAC